AATAAAATAATTAGTCAAAATAAATAAAGAATGATAAAGTTTAACTAAAAAATATTTATTTATTTTAAAGAATAAAACAATAATTAATTTGAAATAAATTTAAAATGAAAACATAATAATTATTTTAAAATACACAGCATATAATTGAAATGGATAATGTTTTTTTATTTTTGGATTGTAAAAAATTTATAATTAAATGTCAATTTTGGTTCCTCAATTTTAAAGTTTTATATAATTTTCATCTTTTAATTTTTTTATGTATTTTTTAATCTCTTAATTATAAAAACTATACTTTTTTAGTTCTTCAATCAGTTAATTCGTTAAATTTATCTAAATCTGTAAATTTTTGATCCCTTAACTTTAAGTTGAAAGATAAAAAATTTACATATATTAGAAGTTAAATGATTAAAAATGTGTAAATTTAAATAAACTTAACGGATTACTTGATAGAAAACAAAAAAAGTGCATTTTTCATAGTTAAGAGACAAAAAAAAATGTATAAAAAAGTTTAGAGATAAAAATTATGCAAACCTTAAAGTTAAGGGACGAAAATTGACATTTAACCAAAATTTATTATTAATTTTAAAGGTGAAAGACTTTATATTAGTGGGCTCTTCTTCGTCAACAACTATAATTATGCAGTCCATATCTGGTTAGACCGTATAATTCTTTTTTGATTGGAAAGAATAAAAAAAGAAGTTAATTTTTACTTTTAAATTATAAACATACATTTTTTTGTGCAAAATTAATTATAAACATACTTGTAAATATAAGGAATTTATGTTTTTCAATTTAAATTATACATTAAAAATATAATTTGACATATAAATTTATTAAAATATTTTTAATAAAATAATATCAAAATAAATTTATTAAAAATATTTTAATAAATTCATAAACTAGATTATAATTACCTTATAAAACACTTTCTCATAAGCATAATCATCACTACAAAATTCAACCATGTCACCATTATCCATGATGATATACGCATGATTATGATTATGTGAAGTGACTCTAATACTAATTGAAATAATTTGAATCAAAACTTTTACTTATAAGCTTTTTTGGTAATCAAGTTAAAATTTGTATATTCCTAAAGAAGTTGTTTAATGATGATAGGTGAAAAAGGTTAGCTAAGAATGTAGTCAATCTTTTTTAAGCAGTTTACAATGTAGCCAATCTTGTTCTTTTTTTGAATTTTTGGTTAGAAGACTAAAGGCAATCTTTTTTTTTTTTTTTTTTTT